GTGACACCAAAGTATCGAACCGAACCGTGAATTTTGTGTATCGTTGCACCCGTACTAAAAACTGACATGGACACATAGCAACACCTAGGGCAGAATATTTCCACGACTGCAGAGGTTTCCACCAAAGAGATCAACTTTCAGTTCGTCACACAATTGTGTAACTTGCCACTACAGAAAAATGTAGCAGTTAGGCTCTATATAAAATGCTTGCACATGCAAGTCATAATTTAGAACTATGTCACTGGAAGTCAGCCTGCGCTCCGTTTGCATTCCAAGGAAAATGGATAGCCAGCACATAATAAATTACTACCAGTGAACAAACTGTTGTAACATGGATCAAATTGCTCTCTCGTGCCAAAGCGCACAAAGGCACAACAGCTTCTACAACCATAGCTCCACATACTTCATCTGGTGTGAGGCTTTGCACGAAAACTAATCCAGACAACATCAGCCTGCATCTGCTGAACACCACAGCCAAACACACAGGTACCTGCCCGATGCATTCAGCAGAACACACCGTCTGACAGCTCGAGTTTAATGTGTAAGTGCAAACAAGTCCCCTCCTACCCTGTGGTAAAGAACTCACCTCCAGGGCCTCGAGGGTCACGAACCCTGTGATGGAAAAGCCGTCGATGATGTCCTCTTCTGCAGAAGTAGACTCCTTCCGCTTTCTTCGTGGAGGTCGAGGTCGGGACGACGAGGGCTCCCTGTCACCGTCCCGCTCTGAGTCAGAGGAGAAGCGAAACACGGAGCCCTTCACGTGGTTGTTCTGTATCCCATTTGATCTCCTCTCCCGATCCCTCTCGGACCTCGACTTCCTCTTCTTCCGGAGACCACTAGATCGAGGGCCATCCATGTCCTTCATTGGAAGCATCCAAATAAACCCTCCTGTTAACCGGGAATCAAAGCCTTCGAGAGCCCAACGCGGCACTGCTAAACCTCCACTTGGGCAAAGACCCCCTTGAGGAGAATCTCCACAATATCCAAGAGAATGTTATCAGTGGGATAGATCCAAGGTAATCATAATATCCAACAGATGAAGCCTTTTATGGGAAACTCAACAGCGCACTGACTCAGTGAACCCAGCTAGGCTTCACGAAAAGATCCCCAAAGGCAGTCCATCAAATCCTACAACGGAGGTGTAAAATGATCTATTAAACACGTTATCGCCAAGCTGTGGATTTTGCCAGGGGAAGGACTTTTCAAGTTAAAGCAAATGTCTGCTCAGTGAACGTGCCCCGCCGTGGTGAGATGAGCAGGTGCCGCCACATCTTTCTTCTCCAGGAACTGCTCCTACCCAAGGTCAGCAAACTCACGCTCCTGCAAAATAAAGATGGACAGAGAGAGAGAGCGCATGCATTTGCAACATGTTCACTCAGCAAGTTCAACAGTGCATCGGAGCTAATGAGCCATTTTCCGATAGGTGCTGCATGCTACAACAGAAGGTTCTTGGCTTGGTGCATAATGCAAGATGAATGTTTTATTAGTTGCATCTGCTGAGTATACTGTGCTTTTTACACTGCCAGGTCATTAAGCCCTGAGATGAGATGATTATGTGTTGTAAGTGCTCTTTTACTGGTGTCTCAAAAGCTTTTGCCAAGTTTTCTAACATAAACTGTGTTTTTAAATGATTGAGCTCCTTGTGTAAATTATATATCACCAGTGTTATTTTGCTACACGATGGCTTAAGTTCCCTGGGATTATTTTTGGCCCGGTGACAGCTACAAATGTATATACTCTAAACTCTGTGACAGCGCTTCAGCGCTATGCAGCACTTTCTTCCTACTACAATAATTCAACTGACAAGGTGAACAATATACCCGTTTAGTTGCTCTACATTAGTTTTAATGCAAATGATCAACATTTTGGCACACACTCACATGCATCAGAAATGACATTTCATTCACTTTCACTGTGCAACATCGCTAATAATAAAGTTGCAGCATAAACAGACATAAAAGACAAATTAGACGAGTCAATACTTGAAGCTGTGCTTGAATATATAGCTTTGACTTGTAGACATCTATAAATGAGTTGCTGAAATTAACAGATTCCCTCTGACAACCTGTTTCAGTTCACCATTCATTTCTTTCAGAACATCACCTTGGCACACAGACATGACTACATTTCTCCCTTTCACAAATTAAAAGTAGGTCTAATTGAACAGAGACACGCGTTTGAGGTTTTACACACTCTAAACAAATGCCACGACCCTCTATTAAGGTTATCTGTGTTTGGCTGCAGAGCTTAGCAGAGCCTGGCTTCACTGACACTGAAGGCATCTGGCTGCTTTATAATATTAGGATGCAACATTCAACAGCTTGCAGTGCTATTCTACATCATTCTCAGGAGCAGCCCAGCAGACTAGGCCTAAAGCCACAGAAAGTCACTCTGGCATTGTAGTCCAAAACACATATGGCTTCTCAGTGTGTCCAGAATAATAATTCCCATCCATGACATCACAGAAATGGTATTCGTATGTTGGAGAAAACTGCTTCAGACCGAACTAACTGCAGGCTTTTACTAAGCCTCCAGAATCCAGGTGGACGTTTCAAGCAGAGGAATGAACCCTTTTCTGCATCACCACCCAAACCAGAAACCAATCTGTCACAGTCAACCACCATCTTCAACTTTACAGTGTCTCCTTGGACACGGGCTGTCATGTAGTGAGCTCATCTGGATTCTGCAGCATGTATGCTCTGCTCGACCCTGCAAAGTGACAAATGTTTTAAGCATGCACAACCACAACCATTTTGGGGGGCTTGATCAAAGGCATGCACAACAAAGGCACTAACAAGCCTGCATGCCAACAATTAAGTGTGCATCAACCATTTACAGCTATTCATTTCACAGTACATGTTCAGTCTTCTAACAACACCCCCAAAAGGCAAATGCACCTTTACCGTGATAATGCTTCTAAGCCTTTTTTAAGTACCTGTGCCTTTAACCTGATGCCCCATGCCAATACTCATCTAATGGCACACAGACACTGTGCAAATAGCTCCCAAAATATCGCTTATTTAAAAACACACACACACAAACTGTGTCCTAGCACTCGCCCTGGCTTTTCCAGTTCAGCAAAGACTCTTTCTCTTGTCTCAGCTCACAGTCCCTTTTTGTCTGCCTGTGCTGTCAGTAAAGATCTCAGGCTCTGTAATCCAGTCCAGCCCACAACAGCAGCGGCAGCGGACTGGCACTGCCTCCTGCTCCGGCTCTCCAAGCTTCATTTTCTACTATAAGACACACAACAAAAGCAAGCCTCTCTCTCTCTCTCTCTCTCTCTCTCTCTCTTCTTTTTTTTCCTTTTGCTCCAAGACACGTCATGCAAAACCAAGAATTGCAAACCCTTGCGAGTGGGGAGGGACCGTCCGGACAAGTTGAAGGCCTTCAGTCACTAAAGAAAAAATAAAGATAAAGCACAAGAAGGTTTGGAGCTGGCAAAATAAATCCCGCGAAGGAAAACCATAGGGTATCTCCTCCTCCTCTCCCCAGATCCGAGCTTCAGGATCCCGGAGAAGGGAGACCGGGGCGCAGTGATACGGCGATGCCGCAGTGCCGCTTTACAGGCTGCGCGCTTCCTCCTCGGCGCAAATAGTGCTGTCCGTGGACGTTTTTTCTGCGAGTAGCGCTAAAGATACAGCACGGCTACTAACTTAGCTGCAAGTCAAATGTGCTGGAGCCAGTTTATACAGTCTTGTTATTTCCAAACTTAATTCTGATTCGCAACGGGCGCGTTTTTAATGTTTTTATCGTACATGCATGACAGAATAATTGCAAATGCAAGTCAGGTGAACGGTTCAAGTAGGAAGTGGTAATGAATACTAGGAGAAAGTGTCCGGTCATTACTTCATGAACCTCGGCTTTATCATTAAAGGGTAAAATATGCATTCATTAGCATAATTGCTTAAATTGAACAGCAGCCTGTGATCGTTAACGCCCACCAAGCTAAAGACAAAGCTGTAGCCACACAATTGATTTTATGGAGAAAAGAAGCAGCAACTCAATTTTTACGCAGTTTGTTTAAACATATAGTCATTCACCTATTAGTTTAGCGACTGTATCTTTATTGTATCCAAATTATTTAGTAATTTTAAATAATTCATTATTTATTCCCCTCCTTCAGGACAGTTAGCTACAATGTTCCCATAAAGTGATATGAACTCTTGCTTCAAGGACACCTGTGGCCAACTAACTCCCCCCCCACCACACCACCACACCAGCACTGCAGGTGGTGTCTGACCTTACAGCAGCCGCAATGAATAATAAAAGACTAAATAAGCACAGCATATTTCCGACATTTAAAGACAATATTTACCCAGGAAAGCTGCTTCTCAGCACTGAGTTGTTAGTCACCCCAGCCTTTGCAATCAGACAATTACTTGCATGTGTGGGGCCACGAGATTATGCGTGTCCCGAGTCTGCAGCGCTCACGGCGTTTCCCCAATGAGCTGTCAAAGCAATACGTGCGCTTTAGTAAAGGTTCTGAAGCTTATTCATTATGTTGGTGTTTTGCATTTATATTGTAATAAAGAAAGAAAACATGGAGTTATTCGACATCCAAGTTGTGCATCATTTGGCAGGAATAAATCTATTCAGTTCAGGTCACTTCACTCAGGTTGTTCAGTGTCATTCATGAAAAGCAGTCAAGCATCAGGCGGAGATTGACAATGGCTGCAGGAACATGCTTTGCTCTTTTAAAGTCTTTTGCTTGCATGGAAACGTACCAGGTGAATAATACCCTCAACAGGAGGACAGTTATATATATATGTAGATGCAGAAACGTGGCTGAGGAGGTTTTCACTGTCTGCCAACTGAAAATCAGTATTAAAGTAGTAATGCATGTTTTATTGGAGATAATTAATCAGATATTTTTTTAAAAACTTTAATATTTGCAGCTTCATGTTGCATAAATTTGGATCGAGTGAACGCCTCGTAGCACATGTCGCTGCAGCATGCATTGATTTTTAGGTCCATTAATACCGTGGGGTGAGCATTAATAACAGTGTAACTACAACAGTGTGAAGTTGTACTATATTCAATAATAATT